TTCGCTTAGTCATGATGCACATAAAGTATCACAATGAAAAATCATGAATGAAATATGAGATAGCCATCGTGACATCAAAGCTCGAAAATTTCCGAATCACCGGACAGAATTTTTATAAAATTTTTTTTTCGCTGAGATCTCGTGGTTGCAACAATTTCTCATGCATATAAACCCTAATTTAACCTTTCAGAGCGTCAATGAAACGTTTTCTTGGCCATATATTGGCCATTAAATGACCAATTCGGGAAGTTGGCCAATAAATGGTCCGAAAATCGTTTCATTAGAAAAAATGTTCGATTTCTACCGGGGAAATTACTGCAAAAATAGCACATGAGTTAATAACCGATAAGGATCTCTTATTGTTTTGAAAAGTGAAAATTTTGAGAGTGAACTATTGTAGTACGGCTGAATACCTTTCCGAATCACCGTACATAATTATATTATTATATACAAATACAAAATATAAAGGTGAATAAAATTTTAAAAAATTAATGAAAAGTCCAATGAGCTTCCTATTTAATTGCTATAAATTATTCTTTTAAATACTTCCTCAAAAATTGTGTCCTTGATTTTTTAGAAAACCGCTGCCAATTCATTGGCAAAGTACTTCCTCATAAAAAAAAATTATCATTCCAATTTTTTTTCTTGAATGCTATTAAAACAATTTTCAAAATTTAAACTCTGCAAAAAAACTGAAATTTCTAAAAAATAATGATTATAGAAATTTTCTTCTTCACGATGTAATTTCATCTTAAAAAATCGCTGCTCGAAATTGTTAGAAATACACGACTACCGTTAAAAAATCTTGAAATAAAACGAAAATATCAACCAAATCGAAAAGTTATTAAACGTTACACTTTTAGTGATATTTTCCATAGACATTAATCAGAAGTGTATTATTATTTTTGTGAAATTTTTTACCTTCAAATTCAACATTAGTACACTTCTTAGATGAAACTACTTCAATTGTTTAATATTCAATAAAATGTTTACATGTGTATATAGACGTCGCATAACTGTTCTTACACAGCTGATTTTTGTTAACTGTTAACTATATAAGTTCTTTATTTGTATGTCTCTGAGGAAATACCTTTCATTTTTATTTCAATTATTAAAAGCAAATTGAATGATTCAATGATTTGAAAAATGACAATTTTCATATCCTTATGACTTGTCGAAATTTTTATGCTATCCAATCATAATTTATTAGCAATATAAGCACCTATTTTTTGAGTTTAATTGAAAAAAGCTTCCTATATGAGGAAGCAAAAATGTTTAGTCATTCAATTAACAAAGAATGCGCTACACATAGGTATAATATAATTGTAAAATTATTAGATAGAGCATTTTTATCGACCTTTGCAATTATTAAATCTTTGCGTGCGTCAAATTTGGGAGACTGGTAAAAATAATTCCAGTTTCGATGCGGGGATCTTCTGATCAGCAGCAGTTACTTGAAAAAAATGTTCAGCCGATAAATAGGATGTTTCAAGTTCGTTCTTTAAAAACAACAGTATTTTAAAGAATAAATAGATGTGTGGTATTTGATATAATAGAAGGTGTTGATATTTGAGTTCGCGTTTAAAAGGCGAGTAAAAGGTTTTCACAGTCACAACCAAATGAATAACCGTTTTAAAAGCTTTATTGTTCGTGACAATGGTTTTCTAAAATTACATAGCGTACACTGAGAAAAAATTCATTGATTCAATGAAATCTAATTTAATATTTTATTTACTATTAATTTAATCAAATGATTGATTGGAGCAATGAAACTTTCGTAAAAAGAATTAAATATTTTATTGGATGAAATAAAAAAAAGATTATTTCAATGAAATTATTTCATAGATTATATTTAATTGAATATTTCATTGATTCAATGAATTTTTTTTCTCAGTGTATAACCCGTTTAATCACTAATTTTAAATCAATTTCATATTTCTAAAATTTGCTTTCCGTATGTCCTGCATTAATGTAATTTTCGAGATACTTCGAGATGCAAATGATTTATAACAAATATTGCACTCAAAAAGTTTACTTTACATATGTACTGCAATAATGTGCTTCTTCAGTACATGCTTGTTTCCATATGATTTTTGACAAATATCACACACAAAGGGTTTGCTCTGATTATGAACTGCATTTATGTGAGAATTGAGGCGGGCTTTTAGTCCAAATGTTTTGTGACATTTGTCGCACTCGAAGGGTTTGCTCCGATTATGTACTTGACTGATGTGCCTTTCGAGATTACTTTTTTGTCCAAATGATTTATGACAAGTCTCACATTCAAAGGGTTTGCTGCGATTATGAACCTCATTTATGTGAGCATTGAGGTTGCTTTTTAGTCCAAATGTTTTGTGACATTTGTCGCACTCGAAGGGTTTGCTCTGATTATGTACGGTATTTATATGAGTTTCGAGGTGTTGTTTTTGTCCAAATGATTTGTGACAAATCTCACATCCAAAGGGTTTGCTCCGATTATGTACTGCATTGATGTGCTGTTTGAGATTTTCTTTTCGTGCAAATGATTTATGACAAATATTACACTCAAAGGGTTTGCTCCGATTATGTACTTCATTGATGTGCTTTTTGAGATTTTCTTTTCGTGTAAATGATTTATGACAAATATGACACTCAAAGGGTTTGCTCTGATTATGTACTGAATTCATGTGAGTATTGAAGGTACTTTTATACCTAAATGATTCGTGACAAATTTCACACGGGGAAAGTTTGTTTTTATCATGTACTTGATTCACGTGTCTTTTGAGTTTATATGGGGATCTAAACGATTTGTGACAAATTTCACATTCAAGTGGTCCAATGCCCTTGTGTGTCGTTTTCATTTGTCTCATTGAAGTCGCTTCTTCTCTGGTAAATTTACGATAACTATCGTCATTAAATCCTTTTTGGATTAAAATTGTAAGCCTTTTCCCATTCAAGTCATTTGTTGGATTTTCTTCCTTTACAGTAGCTTGGCAGATGGTCGTTAATGAGGGATTAGGTTCAAGTTTTACATTTTCGCTCTCAAAGTCGATCAAAATTTCATCCTGTAACAGCATCGAGTCTTTAAAATTGTTTATAGTTTTTTCATGGTGGAAATCCGAACATAATGTCGAAAAATGGACTCACCGATGACTCATTCGACGATGATTCTTCAGAGTTTTCGGTTTTGCAAATTTCTAATTCATGTGATCCATAGTCCTTATTCGTCGTTTCTATTTGTCTTGTTAAACTCGATTCTTCTCCAATAGTAAATTGACGGGTTTTCTCGTAATCGAATCCTGTTTTAATTAAAATTGGAATCCTTTTCCCATTCAAATCTTTTGTTGGATTTTCTTCCTTAACAGTAGCTTGGCAGATGGTCGTCAATGAGGGCTTATGTTCCAATTTTACCAATACGGTCTCGCAATCTACAAAAATATCCTCATCTATTTTCTGCTGCGACGAAATACATTCATTGGTGGGATTTGCCTAAAATTATAATAATGTTATAGTTTTTTATGGTAGAAGTCCGAACATAATTTCAAAAGACAGAGCTCACCGAAGATTCATTCGACGATGACTCATCAGAGTTTTCAGTTTTCACCGAGAACCTCGGATCGACACTCTCGTTGGCTACATCTTCCCAATTGTCATGCGGCTCCTCTTTAACACTATAGAAACGATCGTTTAAAAATATATCTTTGGTAATCATGAAAAAGTGTGTACCTAACTAAATCCTTCCTGCTTTCCATTGTTTCGTTAGAATGATTTATCCTTAAATTATTCAAAATTAGATGCCTCCCGTAGCCAACACCGAACCTTATTTTCACCAATAAACTTGAACGGATATTATTGTAAACACTTCCAACAGCAGGAAATGATTAATAGCGACTGAGCGTAAACAGTTTTGTACAACGATGAGTAGCCACTGACATATAATTAACCCAGATCGTAATGAAAATATCATTCACTTAGGCGCACAATTAGCTTACGCGAACGGGTGATATGTGCGAAAAAACAATAGCGCAAAAAGTATTTTTCGGTTCACTAACCACGTGATTCCGAGAGTATTTAAAAACGTCGAAAAATCAACCAATGTCTCAGGCTTTAGGGACTGTTAATCCCTTAATGTCTCAACTTATAATTATGCGCGCATTTAAATTAATAATATACTAAAAATTGCTGACGATCGTTTTGAAATAACGAAATTAATAAAAATTTTAAAAATTTAATATAATATTTCTTAGGTACTTTTGTGGTCATTTAAGAGCTTTCACACACCTTAAACTTGAAATTTTTTTTACGGAAATTTTGAGCAGAATTTTTCTTCCTCTTTCCATTGCATTATTCAAAACTCCAAAATGTTGATTCTGTACTGAGATACAGTTATTTCCGTAAGCCTTTTTTCCTATACTGCATTTTTAAAATTTTTTTTCCTTTTGCGTTTTCTGGAAAGTCGTGTTTTTGGTCACCAGTCGCAATATTAAGGGGGTTAATCATACACCTAAGCCAAGTGATGATGTTTTAAATGCATAATATACGTCGTGACTCGAGATCTTTACTTTGGACGATCGAGTATCGATAGAAATATCAAAACTCATTTTTTTTATGAATTTCGGGAGCTTTATGAAAAGCACGGGCGACCATCAGATACGATTTATGATCAATGAATCTTATAAAGTAATTACAATCATCATCAAAATAATCAATCGACTATCTATTGGCTTGCTTATAAGCAACAAAAAAAAATAGTATTCAAGTTCAAATTAGCGCCTGGCGCTAGTCCACACTTCTTGCACCCGCGTCGCACATTGGAATTTACGAAAAAAATTTCACGCTCCGAGCGACCCACTCTGTACATCGCACTTGTCGTCTCTCCCCCCTCCATTTATCCCTCTGTCTCTCGCTCGCGTGCAAAATAAATCGCGCGACTCGGCGCGTTCGGTATATTATATATACGACGGCGATCGCTACTCGGCGCGTCGACCGCTACGACATGTCAACAATGCGCGAGCCTCTGCGATCTCGTGTGCCGTACACACAATATATATAGAACGTCGCGCACAGTAGTATCGATACGCAGCGGCAGTAGGTCGCGGCACTCGGTCCACGCGACGACGATATTTTTTGCTCCGACTTTTTTGCCTCGCGGCGAAGGTACACGGGCGCGATTTTTTTTTGGATAGTAATGAAGTGTTTATTTCGTGCTGTTTTTCCATTTATCATCGATAACGACCATTCGTCGCGTAATCGAGTCATTTGATACACGAGAGAATCGAAATCATAGTGCGCCGGTAGGATATAATCGCCGTTGATCGAAAAGTATCGTCTGCATATAATTTTACCGACTCGTCGCGTCCTTTTGTCGCCGCGGCGGCGGGGGTTATCTCCGAGTGCTCGTTGTTTTCATTTGGCTCGAGTTTAGATTCTTCCGAGAAAAAAAGTGTGCCGGTTTCGTCTCGTGTGCTGCCGTTTTTACTACGATATTAAGAGACAATAAAACCATTGTAGGTAAGTGTCTCGCGAACGCCGAGTAAATACTTAACCAACGAGTAAACACAGTGGCTTGCGCACAGCTGCCTTTTGTTTATATAATTAAATTATCCAATCGAGCTGTCGTTCGTTACTATCGTTCGTTCGTTGGAAAATCCATGCGTCATCGATCGCGCCGATTTTATTACATTAAAATCTGTAATTATTTTTATTTTTTTGGTCCAACAACAGCAAAATGAACGACGACACGTGGGTCACCTGTCCCTACAACAAGGCGCATCGCGCCCTCAAGTCGCGCTTCCAGATCCACCTGACCAAGTGCCGGGAGAACCACAAGGGCCAGGGCGGCCAGAAGCAGTGCCCCTACGACGCCAATCACATCGTCAACGCCGTCGAGTTCGAGGTTCGACCTGCCCACGATTCTTCACGCAAACTAAAAAATTTTGACTCATTATTTATTTTTTTTTTTCATCAGTACCATCTCGGCGAGTGCGAGTCGCGACTGTCGGTGCTGCACTTCCAGAGCCAGGACCAGGAGGTGAAGCTGAACGTGCCGCCGGCCACGAGGCCGCTGATGATCGTGCCGGCCCAGAGCGAGGAGGACTGGGAGACCGAGGCGGCGGGCGGCAGCTGCTACCAGCCCGGCGAGAATCTCGCCGATCTGCCGGTGTTCATTCAGCCCACCGGCTTGGCGCCGGCCGAGCGCAAGAACTTCCGCAGGAACGAGAGGTCCAGGCATCAGTACATCGAGAATAAAGGAAACACGTGGAAGGTAGAGAGCGAGTTTGGCGAAATAAAAAAAACTCAACCGGAGAATTTGATGAAATTGTTTCTTGCAGCCAACGGATAGTTTCGTCAACAAAAAAATCGTTCAGCCGGTGCATACCGAGCGAAAAGCCAAACTGTCGACGTCGTCCTGCGAATCGTTCAACTCGTCGAATCCGCCGGAAACTCCGGAATCGTTCCAAGCTCCCGCGCCGATTACGGCGTGGAAAACCGTCGACGAGTCTGATATTTCATCGGGCAAATCCGAATCTCTCGAGGTCGAGGCTTCCTCTTCTACAGGTACAGTACCTCCAGCCCAGTCGGCGGCGTTCAGCTACGCGAACGCCGCGAGAAAAGCCAAGGAAGCGGCGGCGGCCGATCCGAAAGCCGTCGAGCAGTCGATAACGTTCGTCATGAGAACCGATCCGAAAGCCGACGAGCCAAAAACAGTCGTCGACGAGCAGCCGAAAAAAATTGCCGCGACGAACAGTTGCTCGTCGTTGTCGTGGAGGTCCGTCGTTGCCGAATCTAGCAAGAAGGAAATCGAGAGTCCGTTGAACAGATCCGCGTCTTCGGTCGAGTCTTCCTCGTCCGCCGGCACTACGACTCAAGCCAAGTCCACGTTCAATTATGCGAGTGCCGCGAAAAAAGTCAAAGAGGCAGCTGACACGAAAGTCGATGAGCAGCCGAGAGTAATTACAACGACCAACTCATCGATCTCATGGAGATCCGTTGTCGTTGAATCGAATAAGAAAGAAATGGAAAGTTCATTGAATACATCCTCGTCTTCGGTTGAATCTTCCTCGTCCGCGGGTGTCGAGACTCAACTCAAGGCAATAGTCAACTATGCGAATGCCGCGAAAACAGCCCGTCGAGGACTTATCGAGCGGCCAAGACCTCCTCCACCTCAATCTGATTCAACGTTCAATTACGCAAACGTGGCGAAAAAACCAAAAGAAGCGGATTCCATAGTCGACGAGCAGCCGAAAACTTGTGCAACGACCAACTCGTCGTCGTCGCTACCATGGAGATCCGCTGCCGTGGCAAAGAAGAAAGAAATCGAAAATCCATCCGCAGCTTCTGCACCTGAACCAAAGTCAACGTTCAACTACGCGAGTGTCGCGAAAAAAGAAAAAGAAGACGATGCAGCAGCAGCAGTGGCCGACGAGCAGCCGAAAACATTCGCGAGAATGGCCTCGTCGGCATGGAGATCCGCTGCCGAGTCGGATAAAAAAGAAACCGAGAGTTCAACAAGTAGATCTACGTCTCCGGTTAAATCTGCCTGGGCTAGCGTTACCGCATCTCAAACCAAGTCGACGACTGACTTGCACTACTCGAGAATCGTGAATAAATTCAAAGCCGCCGATCTAATAGACGATGCCTCGTCTACTGGTACTACTGCTGCATCTCAATTCAAGTCGACGGTGAACTACTCGAGATACGCGAATAAACTCAAAGCCGCCGAGCTAATAGTCGGCGGTGCCTCGTCTACTGGTACTACTGCCGCATCTCAAACCAAGTCGACGGTGAACTACGCGAATCTCGCGACCAAACTCAAGGGAGCCGAGCCGAGAGTCGGTAAGCCGACAAAAACGTTCGAGCAGATGCACCTTCAATTGCTAAAATCATTTGCCAAGATCAACTTCAAGTCAAACGTAAATAAGTTTCAGTTTTCTTCGACTGAGAGTAACAATTATTACTAAACCAAAATGACTGTCAATTAACCGTTCCTATTTATTTTCTTTGAGCAAATCACGTAACATTCGTGTGAGAATTGCAAAAAGTACATCGATTACTTTGGTTTAAAAAAAATGTAGTAATTGACATTCCATAAAACAAAGCTGATTTCATGATTTATTTTTTTCAAAGAATTTACTTCTACCAGGGCGAGATTCGCGTTGAAATAATTTTTTTTAGAGGAAGCTCGACGACTCTCTAGTTTGAGAGAAAATCACCCTGAGAAAGCGAATTTCGCTCAGAAAATAATTTTGAGTTTACGCGCGTTTCTTCTAAAGGTTATTTCAGTGGGGATCTCTTTTTTTTTCGATGGAGTCAATTCTGTTCAGATTGTACTTGTATGCAGCAAAATTTTTGTTTCTGGGTTTAGCGTATAATTTTACTAAATAATCATGACAAATGTAATATGTTTAATGATATCATATCGATAAAATAAATATTTTTTTGTATTTTTTCTTTGTAATCTTGTATTGATTCAATTAACTATGACATCTATATTCGTTATAAAAAGTTGGAAAGCTTTTCCTTGTAACTCAATGTATTACATACACACAAAAAACATCTTGGCCCGCTAAAAGTACATTATAATCCCAGCGAGACACATCCATCGTGTAATTTGCATATTCACAGGGAGGAGCTTTACGTTACTAATTAATGCGCGACCTTTTGACATTTTATCCGCTCACGTCGATCGCATATTATACGTATGTATAGTACTACACCGACTCGTGCGTATATAGTTGAAATGTTTTTCGACCTATTAGGATTTAATAACGAGATGTTACGCGCATATGCACACATATACGTAAAATTATTAAATGACACAGCTGGAGGCTGCTGCGCAGAACGCGAGCGAACACGGATGGGCCACTCAATGAATGAAATTTCAGACGCGCGAGCACTGGAAATCGAAATAAATTTATAAATACGTGCGTGTGTGTTGTGCACAGCAGATGACGGCCACTTTTTGGCGCGCTCGTTTTGTATATTATACAATATATATATGATATGTTTTTGAGCTCGCTGCGTGTAACGCCCGCGCGCAAAACTGCAACGTAGACGAAAGCGAACGTATTATTATTATATAACGAGAGGATAACAGGTTCGCGGCACAAAAGGGCATGGAATTTTCATATTTTACAAAAACAGAGTTAAGAGTGTGTGAGAGAGAGAGAGAGAAAGAGAGAGAACACAATTTTGCCGGGCGTTCGCATGGACAAAAAATAGCCCAAAAATAATACGTGAAATAAAGAGAAAAATTCGTACGTAAATATTTCTGTATGTTTTGCCGTGAAAAACCCTTTGGCTTGTGAAGTGATATGAAGTAATGAATTGTGAAATGAAGAATTCTGTGATTTTTTTGAGAGGTAAAATAGATAATGATTCGCTTTTTCATCAGTTTACACGTACGCGACAGTGACATTTGAGAACTTTTAAAAGCTCAATTTTTCGATTAAAGAGTAAATTTAGGGCCGTGTGCAAACTAAATTAAAGCCTCGAGGCTATCATCCCATGTCTTTGAAGGTTGTAGAAAACATTTTTCCAAAATCTTACCCATTTTTAAGATTTCAATCTTCTTATTTAGGATTAGGCGTTTTCTTTGCGCAGCATCGCCTCGATGAAACCTGCAACAAACAAATTGAACAAAACTGTTATTTTGCGTTGAACGTTTAAACAACAAATTAATTTTTCAACAATACAAAATATAAAGTGATAACAATAAAGCATTGTCTATGCAGTTTCAAAACCACGCTGATTCAATTGCATCGCGAGTTTTGAAGTTTCAACTCTTCAAAGCGTGACCCGATTTCGCGGTTTTTATAAATTATAAACGGGCACGACCTACAGCGGTAAAAGTAAGGGAGTTGAAATAAAAAAGAAAAAACTGCTGCTCGCGCGTCTCGAAGATCCTTTTCTTTGCCGCCGCCGTCGCCGGAGGAAGAGTGTACACTTCGCCTCGACAAACAGTGGTTTTTTAATCCTCTAATGCGAATGAGCTTAGCTCCGTATAGAAATTCCCTGCGTATACAATAACACTTTGCATACTGCTTCTACTTTTATTCTCTCTCTCTCTCTTTCTCTCTCTTTGGCTCGGCGCAAAAACTTTTGGCACTGATGAAAGTACTGTAGTACTGTGGTGCGCAGCGGCCGCTACTACTATACATACTACTACCATCGGTCGCGTGAATGAAAAATATGCTTCGCTGCGGTGCGAGCTCCGGTTCTTTTTTTTATTCGCAGTCGCACGGGAATTGCCTCCTGCGATTGCCTTGACAGGTGCAGCAATGGCAGGGTATTTATTTTTTCGTAGAGTAGAGTTTTTATTTTTTCGAGTTCGAGTCCAATACCCACTCGATTGTTTTCGAGCTTCCAAACTTTGTCACGAAATGCGGAAATAATCAAAAATTAAAAAAAAATACCAGCCCCAATATTGTTTGCTGCGTATCATTAAGAAATGAGTCGTGTTTATCAACCTCGGCTCTAGCTCGATTGCTAACTACATGAGCCTCGAAACTTTTTTGTTTTTCTCGTTCAAGGTCAGTAATAAAGTATAATCATCATAATTATCATCTCGGAAAATGTATTAAATTACACGCACAGGTATAAGATAAAGAAAATAAGAGGAAAGATTACGATCGGTTGGTATGATTGATATGCATTGAGTTTTGCACCCGTCTAGGCCGTAGTTTCAAAATCCTCGAAACATTTTGTTCACTACATCTATTGTCTCAATCGACTCTTTTTAATATCTTTTCCATCATTTGATTGAACGACCCACAAAGACATGTGCTAGACATGTGCTTGGAATTCAATAAATAAATTTAAAAAATAAGCTGGGATGTTTTACTTTATTGATAAGCACACAATCATGTATGAAATAAAAATATTCATTATCCCAACACCTTATTTTGAATCCAACCATGAACAGATCGAAAATGTAAGTATTAAAAAAAAATAGCAATACTTCAACGCAATTGGAAAACTTCATATAGAGTATACTCAACAACTTTTGTTAGTACTCGAATTCGTGTACGAGTCGAATTTTTATTTTAAAAAGATCAAGTAAGTCAAACATGTGAGCTTTTTCTTCATTCATTTTTTTTTCGTGCTCTATTACGAGAACTCCCCTCCCGAGTTACACCTGCTGCTACGCGTGTAAAGAACGAACGACGCGGGGTAGGGTTGAGAAAAAAACTGAATCAATCCCAACTGTTTCGATCGATTCCACGCATAAAGCTCAACTCCAAGCGCGCCGATCTTTGTAAACCAGACTCAAAAACATTTATAAGTTATCCGGCATTCGCTCATACATCTCGCGAGTCTCGAACTTTCTGACGAATGCCTACGACTTCCATTTACGGAAAAGTCTCTCGCCCGTGGGTTATACGCATATATACAATCGTGTACGTATATGTATGCGAATGCGTGCCCGTAATTATGTGCGCGCAGCTTCGCTCGGGAGTTTTATCGGCGCGCCTTGTATGTACATCCCGAGGCGGGCGCGCGTCGGTACGCGTCGCGAAAAGCTCGCGCGCAAGCTCACCTCTAGACGTGTGTCGCCCCGGCTGCGAGCGCGTGGGTATAAACTTTTTGAAGCCTCGCGAGTGACACCTGCTCCCAGCTATATAGGGGGGGGATGACGAAAAATTTTTCTCGTCTCTTTCGAGCTTCGTCGTCGTCCTCGTCGTCTTTTCTTTTTCTCACTGGGAGCGCATGTTGGAGAACTCAATGTGCGAGATATATACATACGTGCACGAGTGCGAGTTTTTTCTCCCTCAAATTTTTAGTACGATATCGTGCAAAGTTTAGATGGTTACAACATCGATGAATTGTATTTGAGTTCTCGTAACGATTTTTGAATAGTAAAAACTGCCACAGCTCGAGGTAATTTTATAAAATCCAGAAAATCCTGAAGCCCCAAGACTCCGCCGCGGTTTTAGTGTCGACTTTGCTCGGAATGCCAGAGCTGATCGCGTTGGTAGATCCAGTCTCAAGGTATGTATATAGCTATACAGTCGATATCCGACGAATAGACATTGGATCAACGTCACTGCGACTCTACGTATACGTGTGTGCGTGTGTAGATCTCGACTCGGCAACTGGATTTTCATTCGGCGCGATTCGCGCGTACAGTGTGACTTTTAGGACAGCTCTCTGCGCGAGAAATAAAGGATCGAAAGGCGTCGGGTTGGGTTTGGAGCTACACAGGAAGGAAAGAGAGAGAAAGAGAAAAGAGAAAAAAAGTAAAACATCTCTTTTTCCCTCGAACGCGTTCGCGTATATGTAGGAAAAAAAGCTTCCCACTGTACTCCGCCGCTGTACTATGCTCCTTTTCGGGCGATGGTGTGTGCGCGCGGCACACGCGAGTAAAGTGAAACTGTCGATCCTCGCGTACGTCAGGCAGCTGTACGTATTATATATAGCGCAGCAGCAGAAGCTCGTCTGAGCGCGCGAGTACACGCGGAATTTCGTTACTTTCGGGGAAAACAGATTTTCTCCCTCTCTCTCTCTTCGAGCCCCCGAGAGTGAAGTGCAATTTAGAAAAAAGAAAAAAAACTTATATATTATATATATTTTCTCTCTTCCTCTCCATCTCTGCCCTCGTGCATGTATGTACGGCGAAAAATCCCAGGCACGCCGCCTCAATCTTCGGTCGATGGATGCCTCCGCGGGGAGGGATCGAGCTTTTCCGAGCGAGCCGAGAGAGTACCTGATTTTTTTCTTCAATATTCATACCTGTCTGTACATGTGTGTGAGTGGATTTTTAAAGATTAAAATAGCATTATCTTTGGGATTCCAATTATGCGCTAAAATTTAAAATGACTCTAGATATGGACTGTAAGAAATTCGTTTGATGATGATCGTAATACTTTGGGTATTAACAGCAGCCAAGGGGGTAGTTTGAAGAACATGAATATTCGATGTCCGAACATCTAAGTTCATTAACTCGCTCGAGTAACCGCTGAAGTTGTGGTTTATCTCTCACATCTTTCGTACTTTTAAATTTTAATACACCCGAAAGTCGATGTAAAGATTTTCCACGTGGATAAGAGAGAGATATCCCAGCAGCCTCGAAATATAGGCCATCGTGTGCCGAGATTTTTCTCACCGATCGTCGTCGTCGTCGTCGTCGTCGTCTAGCTCGTGTCCGTGCATAGCGTATATAAGGGAGGGCAAACCGCACCGAGAGCAGGGACCGAGTTGGTGCGCCGAGCTTCTCTAAAACAGCAGCTCGAGCATCAAACTCCTCCTCGCACCGGAGCTCGTACGTGCGTAATGCCACCGCACGTGATCCTCTCGGGCGAGCACACACACACACACATATACATAGGTAACGGGTTGGCAGCGGCGAATGTGTAATTTGGAGTTGCCCATGGGTAACTGATTTCCGAATGATTCGCCACGCACACACACACACATTTATGTTATATGTATGCAGGTACACGTACCAGCGGCAGCGAA